AAACAACAATTACGTTTGAAGCATGTATAAATCCAGAGAGAGCGAACGCCGTAACAAAAAAGGAAGGTTTATGCAAATGTGATCTGTGAAAAAAGCCTCGAATTACTTTCACTACATTCTTTTTGAGGGATGAAAACTATATGGAGTTCCATTCCAGAGAATTGCTTTTGCAAAAATGCAAACTACAACTTGAAAAATTTTCCTTTTTGTGATAAAAAAGGATTCATTATGTATAAATAATTTATTATAATTTGTAATAAAAAATCTTTCGGAAAACCTTTGTGATACTCGCACATTTTGGAATTTTGTGAAATAGTAATAACAGTCTGCCGAATCAAAATGGTGTGGCGGATTCTATTGACATCAATTTTCACTAAATCCAACATCGAGACAATGAACGCGTTTTATAAAATGCCAAGCACGGCAATATTTCGCGCCGGGCGTTATTTGTTTCTGCACCATCCTAGATTATATTGTAACCGGTCCATTTTCTATTTTCATTTGAATTCAAAAATATTTCTCTCATTCGAGCGCAACGTCACGTTTTTCCTCTGCGATAAAATATATGACTTCCTTCCCTTTGTAGTACACGTGTGCGCCATAAAACGCACCTGTACTTTTCTTACCACATGTAAAATACAGACTATGTGGAAAATCCGAATCTTTCCCTTTTATAAGAAAATTCTTGACAATATTTTTTTACGACAATATTTAAACATTTGTGATATTGTGATAAAAATTAATTGATTCATCGACAACGGATGTCGCCAGAAGTCATATCGTAAACGCGATAACTGTGGAAATGGAATGAGTACACGGTTTTCATCCGTCAGATGAGAATTTACATCTGGAATTTCTTTTTCTAGAAAAAGATAGAATTATTTATCTAGATTTGTAGATATGGAAGAAGTTCGGATTGTGTACGAGAAATAACTCTCCGAACTGGGAAAGAGGAAAGCTCCGCCGGCAATACGTTACCACGCACAGAAACGAGTATCGCTGTATTGCTATACTTGTAAATCACAACCAACCGAGTATCAGTTTATCAACTAGGTGTGTATATATATATATATATATTCTTTTTTTTATTTATCTTGTACGTATCTAGAACTGTATTCTTCATATCGAGCGACCAGGCTCGAACACAACGTGGGATTCTCAAGCGTCGCGAATCGTTTCGCGATATCCAAAATGTTGTTTGGTAAATGATTTTTCAAAATGTTTTTCGTTTAAAAAAAGAGAGAGGAAAGAGTGTTTAATTAAAATTTCAAAAAATTGTAATTAAAACGAGCCGCGTATCGATTCGCGAGGCATTTACGCGAGAATCGCACCGCTGATACGTACATTAATATAATGCGCGATATAATATACAATGTATAATATAATATCATAAACTACGCATTTTGAAATTCCTACCCAAGATGTCGACATTCGAAGAATCCAACGCTACCTCAGATAATGTGAGAAAAATAATAATGAGGAGAAAATAATGCAGAAGGGAAAAAATGTAATAAATTTTATATTTTTTTTACCGAAAAATTCAACTAGATAAATACGTCATTTTGGCACTTATTAATATTTTCGCGGAAATAACACGAGATGAAAAATTTTTTAAACATGATAAATTTTGTTCTATAAACATGTATGTGTATGTAAAAAAAAAAAATATCGGGAGAGACATCAGTCAACTGGTTTTATATTGATCAAGCTGTATTTTAAATATACGTGTTTACAAAAGAATCGAATCAAATTGAATTGAATCGAACTTTCACACGAGACACGGTAGATTTTGCATGAGAGATCACCGCTAGAAATTCCATTTGAATAAAAAGTGATACCAAACGAGCGCTGATGTTTAGATGTACGCAAAGTCATGTATGTTTCACGCAAATAGGATTCAGGATAGGATGCAGCTTTGGAAAGGAAAAAAAAAATGTAATCCCGTTTGCATCAAGTCAAGTTTACAAGTTCAGAACTACCTGTAGCGTTTTGGCAAAATCAGGAAGAAGAAAAAAAGAGAATAACTTCGATCACATTTAGAGACGCGTCTCGCAGCGTCGGTTCCGCTTCTGTTTCGTTCTCCTTCTCTCTATCTTGGGTAGGAGGCAACGCTGCATCGAAGAGTATATAACTCGAGTAAAGAAATGTGTTTTCCTATCCTAGTAATTAAAAATCTTATGTCGTTCGTAGCACGGCTACGAACGTGTTCTCACAACCTTATCACAACCTTATTATAGAGTGCCCTGATTACGAGCTTACCAATAAGTCCGTATGACCGTCCGATCTACTTTTTCTCTCACCTCAGGATTCGCCTTAAATCCATCCGTTTTGGCGCGGCACTCGAGGAGATGACGATTTCTCGCCGCCTGTTCCCTCGTTTTTTACCCTTAAAGATACTCTGAATTGTATCGTGGTCATATAAATAGCATACTTCGCGTATGTCAAGGTATGCGGATGTAAGTGAATGTGTAGGTGAATGTGTATTTGTGTGTGTGTGTGTGTGTGTGTGTGGGGGCGTGTCTACGGCGGATATACAGAGTAGCCCGAAATCACCGATACACACTTCATTGACGCGGCAGCGGGCAGACGGCAGGGGTAGATATTCACCTGGGAGGTTGTACTCTCTCCGAAACCACTCTTAGTAGCGAACAGTTTCGATAATCGAAAACCATTTCCGATCTTGTGTCCGGCGACGGATTCCCGATGAGATACGTAGTGCCCGTGTCCGATACTTCTCACGGTTAGCAAAAGTTCAAACCCCCCCCCCCCTCCCGAGAGTACAAAGCTCATTCTATTATTTATGATCGGAACGTATTTTAATGAAACGTAAGACAAAGAAACTGTAAATTACGACGCAGTCATTTCAGGGCGGCGAAAGTTGGAATATTAAAAAGTGTTGAAATGAACGATAGCCCGACATCCGAGAATTCTAAGGAAAACCCGGTTATTAATAAACTAAAAACTAAAAAGAGAGAAAGAGGGGAGGAAGAGAGAGAGAGAGAGAGAGAGAGAGAGAGAGAGAGAGAGAAAGAAAGCCGCCCGCGTCATTATAATAAATAGCGGTGATTCCGGGAAACCCTGTAGCGGTACGTGACGGTATAATCGCGTGTCAACGCGAACATGTCAGGAGGCGATTTAAAGTGTGACTTTATACGACTGCGCGCGGCCCGAAACCGCAAAGATTTTGCGGATCGGCGTTGTAAACGTCACGCCTCGAATAAACGACCGCCCTGGTGGTGACGAACGAAT